AATTTAGATGACAAACATTTGAAATCCAATGAACACTAATAAGGATGCATGTGGAGTAAGAAAAGAGATAAACCTTTTTTTTATTGTATTGGTGGAGGTTGATTTTGAACAAGAACCCACTAATTTGGCACCAAACCCCCACTAAAACTAGCTTTCCACTAGGGTTTGTGTTGTGGTTAAAATATAGTGCATGTCAAGAACATAATATAAGGAATGCAATGGTAAATTCTAAGGAATCTTGTATGTTTGGTTTGGAGTTCACATCGTGTAAATGTGGTATTTGTTGATGGTGATGTGACTTGAATCGGACTATCAGCCGCTACGACTGGTAGTCGGGGGTCTCGTTGCCCGGTCAGCGAGCGGGTTCCAGGGGCAACGACCCCGGCCCGCGGTGTATGGGCTCAATGTCATTTGGGTTTGGATTTTGGGCCTGGTCTATAACCGTTTCCTTTGCCATATTGGATTAGGTTTAGACCCGCATGGAGAAGTACTATAAATACTTCTCATACTCCTCTGTAATTTGTAATCTCCTCGATATAGTAAAACTGGCTCTCTCTCGCCCGTGGACTAGCTAACACACATCGTGTTAGTGAACCACGTAAATCGTGTGTCTGTATTTTTTGATTCTCTCTTTCGTATTCTTGCTTTATCGATTCCGGGGATTTCCCGATTCGTAGCAGCGCGTTATAACAAGTGGTATCAGAGTCGCGGCTTGAAATCAGGCTAGGGTTTTCAATTCAGAAGAATGACGTCGGTGAACATGAAGATCGAAAAGTTCATGGGGAAGAACAGATTCGCTATATGGCAGATCAAGATGCAAGCTTTATTAAAACAGCAAGGGTTGTGGGGCCGCTATCTGCAAAACAGAAAAAGGCAGCGGTCGATGACGATTAGTGGAATACCCTAGAGGAGAAGGCCCACTCGACCATCATGCTATCGTTGTCTGATGACGTCATAATTGAAGTCGTTGCTGAGAAGGCTACCGCGGGCTTGTGGTTAAAGTTGGAGAGTCTGTATATGGCGAAGTCGTTAACCAACAAGCTGCATCTCAAGCAACGGTTGTTCAGCTTGAGGATGCAAGAAGGTACGCCTTTGAGGGAACATCTCGAACAGCTTACTCTATTTTGCTGGATTTGCGTAATATAGATGTTCAAGTTGATGACGAGGATGCTGCCCTAATCCTGCTGGTTTCTTTGTCGAGTTCATATGAGAATTTCGTTGATTCTTTTATTGCCGGTAAAGAAAGCGTGCCGTTGGAGGATGTCTGGTATGCTCTTCATATGAGAGAGATCAGGCATAAGGCGTCTGGATCTGGTACAGGTGGTGAGGCATCGGGTTTGGCTGTTACAGGTGGAAAGGGAAAGGGAATCTGGTAAAGGGAATTCGAACAAGAATTCCAAGGGTCCCGGTCCACAGCCAGGTGATGCTTGTCACAACTGTAAGGAAGTGGGGCATTGGAAGTACAACTATCCCAGGAGAAGAGGGAAACTGAAGAAACAAGGTTCAGTTGTTGTGGCAGAAGTGGACAACAGTTCTGAAAACGATCTCGCCTTGGCTGTAGATGAGAAGACACATTGTGGGGATGTGTGGTTTCAGGATACTACAACCTCATTCCATATGTCTCCGAACAGGGATTGCTTCACAACCTACGAGCAGATAGATGGTGGTAACGTGGTCATGGCAAATGAAGTTGTCTGCAAGGTTGTTGGAATCGGGTCCATATAGGTTCGGGCACATGATGGTTGGTTCTGTACTGTGAATGATGTCAGGCATGTTCCACGAATGACAAAGAACCTGATCTCTATGAGTCTACACAACAGCAAGGGTTTCAGCTTCAAAGGAAAAGTTGGAGTTGTGTATGTCTGCAAAGGTTCAAGGAAGGTGCTAAAGGTGCTGAAGGGCGTGAAGCGTGGGACCTTGTATGCATTACAAGGGTCTGTGTTGTCTGGTTTTGTTGTAGTTGCAACGTCTCAGGTTCATCAGGAAGATATGACCACTCTCTGGCACATGAGACTGGGGCATATGAGTGAACGAGGAATGCAAGTTCTATCGAAGAGGGATCTTCTTTGCGGGCACAAGGTGCAGAATTTGGAATTCTGTGAGCATTCTATGTTTGGGAAACTACATCGCAGCAAGTTTCCCAAGAAGGGTATCCACCGGACGAAGGGGATACTGGATTATTTCCTCTCCGACTGTTGGGGTCCTTCACGAGTTGAATTCATTGGAGGCAGCAGGTATTTTCTATCTATTATTGATGATTATTCGAAATTAACTTGGCTTTTCATGATGAAGCAGAAAAGTGAGGCTTTCACGAAGTTCAACCAGTGGAAGACATTGGTGGAGAATCAGACCGGGAAGAAGATCAACAAGATGCGAACGGACAATGGTTTGGAGTTCTGTAATTCTGAGTTCAACGAATTCTGCAAGGATGAAGGGATTGCCCATCATCGGACCGTTAGAGATACACCACAGCATAATGGCATTGTAGAAAGTAGGGGTGATAATCCGGTGTTGGTTGTCCGGTTTAACCAAAAACCGAACCGAAAAATCGGTTAGTCGGATAACCGAAAACCGATTACAATGCATGCGGTGTCGGTGTCGGCGTCAGTTGTCATTTTAGGGAAATATTGATAACCGGCGGTTGCCGGTTGCTAACCGAGAAATACTCGGTGCACCGCTCCTAACCGCTAGACCTCTCCCTTTCCTCTCGCCGCTCTCTACCTTCCTTTCCCAATCTCACCATTCAACCTGCACCCCCTGAATTCCAAATTCCTAACACCCAATCTCAATTTTTGCCGACCCAGAAAACACTAACCACATCTCAAATCTCAATTCTTTCCTCGAGCATCAACTGCTCAAACCATCGTCAAGAACCTCCTTATCTGCCAACCACCGCGATTCTCTTCATCATCTTCCTTCTGGGATCTCCGCCTCTCTTCGAACGGCGAGATTTAGCCGTGATATTCGGCGGCGGGGATCTATGGTGTGTGATAGGTAAGAATCGAGATCCACCCACTGGATATGAGTGAATAGTCGCCAATCGCAACCTCACTATCGTCGTCAATCTTTGTCGCCCCCACTTTGCCTTGCATCCTCCTCGCTTCCCTTCCTTCCTCATTCTCGATCGTGGACATGCAAGGAGTCGAGGTGGTCGTCGTTGCTGAAATCGCTGTCGGGATTGATGGCAGGAGTCGAAGATCGCCTTTCATGTTCCCGCCGGCCGCCTCCCTGCCGTCCTCATAGTTTGTCATCTTACGCCGTCGTGTTGTTTCGAAGAAGGTAGGAGAGAATGAGGAGGCGGTGGTCGAGGCATTAGGTTAAACCCGCCATGGGATTTGGATGAATGGTTTGTAGTGTTCGAATTTTTTGGTGGAGGCTTAGTTTTGTTGAACAAAGGTAGATCTAGTGGAAACAGAGAGCAAGAGAGAGAAGACGTGGACAGAGAAGAAATTGGAAAAGACTCAAAAGAGTTGGCTTTTTTTGTGAGAGAGACGGGAGCAATTTTCCCCTTTCAATTATTGGTCTCTCTCCTATATAATTATAGGCACGGTTTTCGGAGACTAAAAGACCGAACCGCAATTAGTCGGCCTCGGTTTTGGCTAACCGATAAGAGGATCGGTGGCGGTGGCGGTCGCTGGTTTTGGGTCGCTTTCGACTGCGGTTAACCGACTTGTCGGTTCTGTTTAACCGTAACCGAACCGACTAACACCCCTAGCACAAAGGATGAAACCAGACATTGTTGGAGAGAGCACGATGCATGCTCTCTAATGCTGGACTAGAGAGAAGATTCTGGGTAGAAGCAGTGAACATGGCGTGCTTCATTTCGTACTGAACCAAGTTAATCAATAGACTTTCCCTAATTTGTTATGGTTAGCGATTTTCTTTATTAGTTTTGCCGTTATGTTACCAACATAGTATCTTTCTAAAACTTAAATCATCAGTTTGGATTTGCAAGTGTCTATCATATCACTAAGACAGTATCATATCCACATAAGTTATAAAAGAAACTTGTAATTTACTAGGACGAACTTCCTACTTTAGTTATCTCAACACCGATTACAATGTTGAATGTATTACCTGTACACAAATTCAAATTTGGAGACAAAATTGATACAAAATCAAGTTCCTTTTTATTTTTTTAATTGTAAAATTGTATTGGAGGTTGTATCGGAAAAATCAACGATAGAATATTTTTTACTAAAATTGTGATTTAACTATATTTCAGCTTTTTCAAACTGTTAAAAAATCGTCTATCAATTTAAATTTCAATAAAAGATATTTTACTATTTTCAATTCAACCGCTTATATGATACAATTTTACAAACACCAATATTTATCTAAACAAATCAAGTATTTTATTGATTTCACTCACGGTTTTGGCCCAATACCTAACTGGGCCCAAATCCGTCCATCAGTTGTCCCGGCTCAACCCGACAGCAGTCGGGCTCGGAAGTCGTAAGGCGAAACACCACCCGCCACGCGCTTAACCCAATCTTCGTCCCCCCGCCATTGCAGTCGCCATCGCCATCATCATCACCGTTCTTTCCGAGTCACACGACTCATCACCGGGCCCCGGCTCGGCTTCGACTCTACCAATTTTTAACTGTTACAAACTGCCGGAACGCGACAACCCCGCAGCGGGAAATCAATCATCCCACTAGACCACCATCCCTCTTGGAAGATTATTCATCCCCTAAGAAAATGTCCATTTCTTTAATCCTTCTTCAAAAATGTCGCCTTCTGCAGCCCTCGTCATTGTCTTTTCATCAGACCTCCCACCATTTTCCCCAGTCAACGCTCCCTCCCTCAACCCTCTCCTCTCAATTTCTTCTCCTTCTTCTTCCTCCTCCAACTCCATCTCAAACCCTTCTACACACGCCATCCCGAAGCTGCTTCGATCTCTTCTACGAGTTTCCCCCATCTGGGTTTTTGGGGGGTTTATGGTAAACCCCTCCTAGTCAATGGTACCAACAAAGGGCCCCAAAAGTTCTGGCCTTTTGATGAACCGGAATCTGGGTCTTGGTTTCTTCGTCTTGCTGTCGTTTCTCAGCAGCTCCGTCGTCAATTCCCAATGTAACCGGGGCTGCGATTTGGCGTTGGCTTCCTACTACGTCTGGGAAGGCAGCAATTTGACCTACATCCTCCAGCTGATGAAATCCAACATTCTTCGGGAGACCGACTTCGACGCCCTGCTGAGCTACAACAGGCAGATACCCAACAAGGACAGCGTTCAGCAGGACACACGGATCAACGTCCCTTTCCCTTGCGAATGCATCAACGGGCAGCTCCTGGGCCACGTTTTCCTCTACCCGACGGTCACCGGGGACACCTACGACCTGATCGCCGGCAGGAATTACGCGAATTTGACCACCGTTGACTGGCTCCGGAGGTTCAATTCCTACCCTCCCAACAATATCCCTGATAGGAACGCCGTGGTGAATGTCACGTGAATTGCTCGTGTGGGGACAGTTCGATTTCGAGGGATTATGGGCTGTTGTTACTTACCCGCTCAGGCAGGGGGATACTTTGGAATCGATTGCCCGGGGAAGTAATGTGTCGGCGGATTTGCTGCAGCGCTATAATGCTGGTGCCAATTTCAGTAGCGGGAGGGATTTGGTTTTTGTTCCAGGCAGAGGTGATTTTATCTCCACTTTGGATTATTGATTTGCTAATATGGGGTAACTAGTGATGAAGTTAGGCAGTCAATCCCAAGAAGGCTAGGATTTGAACGGTTATTTATTGTGCATAGTGCTTGTGCTTTGGCGTGTATACTTTTCTGATCATGAATAGAACAGAACATGGAATTAGTTTAGTTGGAAGTTCTACTCAAAATACTTCAGTCGGCATTTGGTTGAATGGATTCAATCATATATTGGATTAGATCCATGTATATTCCCTGGAGAAGTTTGGAAGGATGGATCGCCTTCTGAATGTGACTTGTTTTCTTGTCCCATTTTGGCGGTGAATCAAACAAATGGAGAAATCTGTGGTATTTAGGATATTTAGGAATTCAGATACTGGAATTTGTTGTCTGTACAAGTAAATGTATCACCTCAAGAGAATCGAACCTCAGATGCAGGCTTTTCATAGGGTTTCTTAAGATTCAGAAGATGCAGTTTCATGTAATACTATGAGCTTTAGCTTCTAAATAACTTCATGGATGTGCCTAACCAAAGCTTTTCTTTCTCTTGCAGATGCAAGCAATAGCTACCGCCCCTTGAATTCAAGGTAATTTTTGATTGCTTATATCCTTCTATAATATTCTATAAAGATTTTGTCCTGCTGGAAGCCTGAAGTTTAAGGACGCCTCATTAAACTCTCTGACATTAATATCTGTTGTTCTCCATTTTGCAGCTCTTCTGGTGGTTTGTACCTCTCTGCTTGCTGGTTTGCAAAACTTCAATAGGCTTCATTCATCTTTGAGCTTATATATGGTTTCATATAAACAGGCATATCTGGGGGATTGATAGCTGGCATATCAATAGCAGCTGTAGCTGTGGTCTTGTTGTTGGCTGTTTGTGTATATGTCAAGTTCTACAGGAAGAAGAAGAAGGTGGCAGGGACCGTACAGTTGCCAGCTTTATCACTAGGCTACTCTGCCCAAGGCAAGCTAGTAATTTTTAGCTTTCAAAGTCGTATTTACATATCTTTTCATATTTATTTGGTTCACGGAAGGGAGTAAATGTGTATAGCAATTAACCTTTTATTTATCTCACCTGGTGCAGGTCCTGGAGCTCACTCAGATAAGCCACTCGAATCACCTAGTGGGGCGGCATCTGGAGGACTTACCGGCATTACTGTGGACAAATCAGTGGAATTCTCATATGAAGAACTAGCAAAGGCTACCGATGACTTCAGTTTGGCCAATAAGATTGGTGCAGGTGGCTTTGGAACTGTTTACTATGCAGAATTAAGGGGCGAGGTTTGTTGCCTTTGTGAATTATCTCGAGCAGTTATCATTGAAGCTAGATTTTTGTGATTTCTGCTAACCTATAAGCTCTACACCTTGCATCCTGTTTCTTTTGACTGAAAACTGAAAAGTGCAGCCCAATACCGTCTATTGTCATATGCTAAATATACATCTCTGATTAGGACTCTTGGCATAATAGGTTCTCTGAGTTATAGTACAAACTATCTTCTGTTTCATGGACATTCATCTCTGACTCTCTGATGCAGAAAGCTGCAATCAAGAAGATGGACATGCAAGCATCAAAGGAATTTTTTGCTGAGCTCAAGGTTTTAAACACATGTTCATCACCTGAACCTGGTAAATCTCTTTCTTTCAGTTACTGGAACCTTAGTTTGTGTGTTGTTAGAATGATACAGCACTTCCATGTATAACTTAGTGACTTGCTAAACTTGAACGCAAGTCCAGTAAGTCACGACTGTACGTAGACCATGTTGACATTATCACTGCAGTTTACTCGGTCCTATGGGCACTCCTAAGAGATGACAAATATTTAGCTACGATTCTGTGCATCATACTTTTAGTGATGTTAGATGTTATTTCGACCTTTGGATGTCTAGGAATTTTCTTGATGATAGAGATCGTTGAACTGCTAACATAACTGCTCATACACAATCATGAATCATATGTTCTGTGGGCCTTATCAGCAGTTTTTTCCCCTTCCATTTATTAGTATTGTTTTACATGACCCTATCAGCAGCTTAGTCGTGTGTTTTTTGTAACTTCAATTTTAGGTCCCGTCTGATTGGATACTGTGTGGAGGGATCTCTTTTCCTGGTATATGAGTTCATAGAGAATGGAAACTTGTCTCAACATTTGCGTAGCACTGGTGAGTCGGCAGAAATACACTGTGGGAAAGTCGTCGGCTGCAGTTGGACTTTACGAAACTAATGGAGCTGACGATGCTGTTTGCTTATTTTGTAGAGAGGGAGCCACCAACGTGGCCTGGCAGAGTGCAAATTGCACTCGATTTCTGCTAGAGGCCTTGAGTATATCCACGAGCATACTGTTCCCGGTATACATTCACCGAGATATCAAGTCTGCAAATATATTGATCGACAAGAACTACAGAGCAAAGGTTTTGCCCCCATCAGCATCTCTTTTGGCTCACTGCCCCGTGGCAATGGCTTTTCTTGTGCTGAATATTGTGTGTTGATATACAGGTAGCAGATTTTGGATTGACGAAACTTACCGAGGTTGGAAGTACCTCGCTCCCCACACGTCTGGTTGGTAACATTCGGATACATGCCTCCAGAGTAAGTTCCGGGTAGTATGTTAAAATTAAACTTATCTTTAGGAAGCATTTTAACAAGACAATACTACAAATGAACCTAGAAGTATGATATAAAGAACCTAGAAGCATTCTTATTTTTTGAAGAACTAATGTGGTTGTGAATTCCCCCCTTCTCTACCTTATGCAGATATGCTCAATATGGTGATGTTTCCCCAAAAGTGGACGTATATGCATTTGGAGTTGTACTATATGAGCTTATTTCAGCCAAGGAAGCCATTGTTAAGCCCAATGGATCCAATACGGAATCTAGAGGACTTGTGGCATTGGTAAGTTTTCCGTCTGTCTTATCATTGAATTTGTGTGACGACTCCGTTTGATTCAACATAGAGGAGGTCCATTGAAGAAGTTGCGAAAGTATAAATGCATGCAAAAAGTTTTTATTAAAAAGTTAATTATTGCGAAGTGGCTAGGTTCTGTCTCAATATATATAGACTTTTGTAGGGGAGAGTTCTTAAAATATGTTGTCTGGGAATATGACATTTTGGGGTTTCATAGGAAAAGAGTAGAAGAGAATTAGGTAGAATTGGAAAGGGATAAAGGATTAAACAAACCACATTATTGTACAATTAGACTTTAAGAGTAGAAGTTATAACTTGCTACGTGCTAGTGTATTTGATTGCGAATTCAGTTATTTGATCAACCAAAGGCACAACTGGTGTCGACAGATTGAAATCGGTTATAGAAGTCTCTGCTCTTGAATTGGCTATCAGAGCTGAAAGTTTTGGTTCGTCTGTATTGAATTTTTCTTTCTGGACTTCTCATTCCGTGAGGCTGCCTGCTTGTTTTAATGTGCGGAACAGTTTGAGGATGTCCTAGACCACCCTGATCCACAAGAAGATATCCGAAAACTGGTCGATCCAAGGCTGGGCGATAAACTATCCACTCGATTCAGTTCGAAAGGTAAAATCAAGCAGCAAGCTCTGTCTGGGAACACCTCATGTCCTGTTAACATTAGATCAATAAACTAATGTACCACTCTTTTGGTGGATGCTTACAGATGGCCCAAACTTGCCAAGGCTTGCACGCAAGAGAACCCCCAACTACGTCGAGCATGAGATCCATTGTTGTAGCTCTAATGACGCTGTCATCCTCGACAGAAGATTGGGATGTTGGCTCCTTCTACGATACCAAAGCTCTTGTCAATCTGATGTCAGGAAGATGAGAAGTGGGAAGAGAGTAATTCTCTCTCCCACCCTCGTCTCATCCCTTCTTGAATCGTGTGAATAGTACACAGATATTATTGGGGTTTCTCTCGGGTCATAGGTCGTATACCTCCCATCTTTGTTGTTTTTCTCTGTAAATGTCATTGTGTAGCAGCAGCAGCAGCTGAAGCGAATTCACGGGGGGTGGGGGGTGGAAATTCAAGTCTTCAGGAATTTGTAGCAGCAAGATCGTTTCTTGATTTGAATGGATCAACTAGAAAGAGAAAAGATCTTTCTTTGGCTTGAGGCAAGGGGATAGGTTTGGGAAAATGGTCCCTCCCTAACAGACGACAGTTGCTTTCTAGGAACTTGAAATGTTTGACACAACTTGAGATATTGGCTGACGAAGGAAAGCCGCTACCTCCTGCGGTTTCTTGGGTGTCAAGTTTCTGTGTGTGAAGTGGCGTGAATGGAAAAGTTAAAAGGTTGACTTTTGATCAAAAGCGGTTGCCTTTGTTGAATTTTGATTGTGGGGTGGCCTTTCTAAACAGTAAAACTGTATCTTACCTTGCCGCGGATCGGATATGGTTCTCCCACCTACTGTTGGGAGGACGTTTTTTTCAGCGGAGAATATGATATTTGTGTAATGATATTATAGTATACGATTTACAGGAATACATATTCATCCAACAAGGAAAAATATATTCTTATAACATAAATATCATCAAGCATTCAAGAATATTATTTTCTCATAACATAAATATCATATTCTTGAAAGCTTGATTTCATACTACTATCTGTTATAAGAATACATATTTCTTGTTGGACGAATATGTATCCTGTAGATCATATACTATATTATCATTACACAAATATTATATTCTTCGCTGGGAGGACGTCCTCCCAACAGTAGGTGGGAGGACCTTATCTTTTTTGCTTTAACAGACATTGTGATCTGAAATATTCTTCCTCCCAACAGTAGGTGAGAGGACCTTATCTTTTCTGCTTTAACAGACATTGTGATCTGAAATAAGAATAAGTGTATTGCAACATTACTAAAGATGTCATCATTTTGGTCGATTTAAACACGAGGGCCTCTTAAAATATTACACCTTGCTAGCTACATTACATGCCTACGGTTTTGAAGTTAATGTACAAAGAACTTACTGTTAAAAGTCGTATTTCATCTACTGTGGACCCATATGAATTACCTGGAGATCATTCTAGCTTCCTCTGGCTCTAGATGAACCAGATGTCACGCCTGTTATGAGATTCTTGGTAGGATTTTTTTGGTCTTTACTCATAGGCGGTGGCTGTTGGGTTAAAAGACCATGTGGTTTTTAGGTTGTTGAGTTTCTTAGAGTACATTGTCGTTTGGTATTAAAGTTTGAGGTCCAAGTTGAGTAGTTAGAGTTAGTATATGGGTCAAGTACGTGCTGCTATTTGTTAGCAGAAGCAGTTAGTTTGTTACTGGTGGTAGCTGGAAATTAGGGAAAGAGGGTTAGTGATGCGGCAGAGTTTGAGACTCTAGTTTCTTTTGTATTTAAACTTCTTTTGATGGAATAAGAGATTTTGTCAGTTTGCATCATATTGGTTTCTACATGTGGTATCAGAGCCTATAGCAAACTGTAACCAAGTTCATACAAGAGTGATTGAGTGTTGGTGAGTTTCAAATTGGGTTTAGGGAAACACGAGAGCTCTGGAGAGTTGGTATATCATTGGTGAGTGAAAAGACAGTGATATATTATAAGTGTTGTGTGTCAGTGAGTAGTGATCATGATGGATTCAAGCTTGTGCAAGTGGGTATTCCTAAGTTTGATGGAGATTTCGATTATTGGAGTCTCTTGATGGAGAATTTGTTGCGTTCAGTGGAATATTGGACTGTTGTGTGTGAAGGAATCAAGGAGCCAAAGGCTGGAGTTGAGATCTCTGCTGCCGAAGAAAAAGTTTTGGAGGAATTGAGATTGAAGGATTGCAAAGCGAAAAATTACTTGTTTAGCAGCATTGACAAGATGATTCTGAAAACTATTACTCATAAAGCAACTGCAAAGGAGTTGTGGGATTCAATGAAGACAAAGTTCCAAGGGAGTGCCAGGGTAAGACGTGCTCAACTTCAAGCTCTAAGGCGTGACTTTGAGATGTTAGAGATGAAAGGAGGTGAGACTGTGAATCAATATTTTGGCAGAGTCATGGTAGTCTCTAATGCTATGAGAAGCTGCGAGAGCCTTATCTGATGTCCAAATTGTTGAAAAAATACTTAGGACTCTTACTGAGAAATTCAACTATGTTGTATGTGCTATTGAAGAGTCAAAAGATATAGACACTTTGTCTGTAGATGCACTTCAGAGTTCTTTAATAGTACATGAGCAGAAGTTTAGCAGAAGAGTTGTAGATGGCGATCAAGCTCTCAAGGTAGGGTTTGATGATGGAAGAGGAAGAAGGACAGGTCGTGAAACCTTTTATGGCAGAGGTAATGTAGTGTCAATTTTCAGGGCAGAGGGAACTTTCATAAAAAGGGCCGAGGCAGAGAAGGTAGAATATGGAATCGAGACACAACAGAGTGCTTTAAGTGTCATAGGTTGGGTCATTTCAGAAATGAATGCCCCATTTGGTTCACTCAACAAACATGCTGCTCTAGCAAGAATTATGATATGAAAGAAAATGTATTGTTGATGGCCTATGTTGAGGAAGAGAAGGATGTAACAGCAGATGAAGTGAAAGAGAATGGAGCAGATGATGACAATCAGAGTAAGATGTTCTTTATGGAAAATCACTTGTTGGAGAGCACATATGAAGTGGAAGTGAATATATCAGATGGTGATCATCATGTCACGATGGATTTTCTAGAAGATTGCGAGTTGGAGAGCAATGAAAGTTTCAGGTGCACTGTGAACCAAAGAAATGACAGCATATCAGAAGTAGTTGGAAGCACTACTAATCAAAAAGTACAAGAGAAAGATTCAACTGCTGAAGTCACAACACCAGCAGCATGGATAGGAGTAGGAGAAATAAATTCCCTAACTGATGTAGTCACGAGTGAAGTGCAGTGTCTTACGGCTGACGATCAAGTGGAAAAACTGAATCTTTGGCATAAAGAATCTTTGTATATAAGGCATGATGGTCCAACAACAATGCAAAGAGAGGATATGGTAGGAGCTGCAACAACATGCTCAACTTTCCGGTTTGGTAAACAGCATCGAAGGATTTTTCCAAGGAGAAGCCAAAGGATTATCGATCAAAAGACTCGACTGGTGCATACAAATCGTTGTGGTCTTGTCGCATCATCATCAAACAGTGAACAAAGATTTCTCAAGTTTCAGCAATTGAAAGCCTCAATTGAGAAAGAATTTACCGAGTATACTGCATGTTTAAGAACCGGAAAAAGAGGAAAGCCTGTGTTGAATGAGCTTAGGAGCTGGAACTCTAGTAAGAAAGTATTAGTGAGCAAAGATGTTCTGGTTAATGAGGCTAATGGCTTTACATGGGACTTAGAGGCTCTCCCAGAATTGATCATGCTGGTATGGAACGGTTGTGATGAGGAGTTAGGTGTTTTAGAAAATGATAGAGAAGCAATCACATTAGCAGCATAACCGATTATTGGGCATATAATAATCTGGCTAAAGAGGTTTGTATGATGCAACCACAAGGATTTGTGGTTGCAGGGGAGGAAGATCAGCAGACAAAGTTCAAAATAGCATTGTATGAGCTGCTGCAGGTATCAAGAACTAAGAAGTGTTTCATTGTAGCTGGCTTGGTACATACTGTTCTTTACAGAAGCAGATTGTTAGAAGCTGTAATGAGGTCACAATTATTTGAAGAGTTTATACAGAGTGGACATGTTGTGATTATGTGTAGATTGATGAGATATTTCCAAGGAGTTCTGGGGTTCATATTGCTGAAGGATTAGTTGGTTTTGTAGCAAGGTTGGTCAGCCTTGCAGCTGTTTTTTCTGCTGAAATAGCTGGACTATTGCAAGTCTGGGCAATTAAGAAGTGGCTAACTGCAACTGGTTTTATCAAGTACTTAATCACAGGTGGTTTGGTCAAATGTTCAGTTGATTTTGCAGTAAGTTTGACTAACTTCACCACAGGTTTTGTAGTCACTTCTATCATATTTGCATATGGATTTATTGCAGTAGTTTTAAATCGAATGACAAATATGGAAGGGGTGAGATATCTTTTGTTGCATACCATGGTTTATGGAACAAAGTTTACAGCAGCTGGAGATAGAGTGCAGGTGGATAGTTGGTGCGAGAAGTTGTTCGGAAGCTTATGGTACTTAAATGGTACTCTTGGTTATGTCATCATCTACAAAAGGGAGGGCCTGGTAATGCGCTTTGAAGGTTGTATAATTAAACATTATACTGGTGTTATGGATAAGAGAAGAAGCATGAATTGTCAAGAATCAAGAGGAGTTGTATATGGTGATTACAAGAAGCAGCATGTGGAAATTCTGTTCATCATTGAATCAGAATATGTAGCTGCTACTGATTATACAATACTATACATGTGGGCGAGATGGATTTTGAAGCTAATGGGTTGGTCAATGTGTGTGTTAATGGTGGGACTAAAACCGTGGTTGATATAGCTCAAGCATCAAATTATCAAGAAGTTTGTGTCTGTGCGGGAGAAGCAAGCTCAATGGAAGGTTTAGTTTGGACTCACTGAAGGAACAAGGGGTGATTCTGAAACTTTTTGGAGTGAGTAATTCGATGGCTATGAAGGTTGGCGTACTTGAAAGGCTATCTAGTGGAGTTTGTGAGTTCTTCATGTGTTCTAAAGAGATTGCATTGGAGTTTCTGCTGGAGGTTTGTAGAATGGGAAACTAAAGATGGAATATTGAAGTTGCTGCTGAAAAATGGGAGTTTTGCTGCTGTAAGTCGAAGTTGCTGCTGAAAAATGGAAGATGTCGCAGCAAACTAAAGCTGTTGAAAATTGAAATGGTTCCTTTGAATGAACTGAAGCTTTGCTTGGTGGGCTTCATTCAGGGGAGGATTTGTTGGGTTAAAAGACCATGTGGTTTTTAGGTTGTTGAGTTTCTTAGAGTACATTGCCGTTTGGTATTAAAGTTTGAGGTCCAAGTTGAGTAGTTAGAGTTAGTATATGGGTCAAGTACGTGCTGCTATTTGTTAGCAGAAGCAGTTAGTTTGTTACTGGTGGTAGCTGGAAATTAGGGAAAGAGGGTTAGTGATGCGGCAGAGTTTGAGACTCTAGTTTCTTTTGTATTTAAACTTCTTTTGATGGAATAAGAGATTTTGTCAGTTTGCATCATATTGGTTTCTACAGTGGCATCCTCAAACCCATCCAGCCGATGCCACGAGCATTCCATTTCTCCC